TATAAAGTAACAATAAGAGACTAACACCCAAGGAAAGTAGAGATAAGTACCAGGAGGATTGCTCCACAGCTTTGGAAGCCGGCCTCACATCCTGGGGAAAAAGGCAGCTCAGATAGAGAAGGGACCACCAAGGAAAGGAAGCTTGGAGGGCCCGCTCTGGATTGGAGATAAGTGCTGAAAGTAGACTATAGACCAAACGTGATGTCCACTCAATACCTGCATTGCAGACCACAACATCCAAAGAGAAGGGGAGGGGGTAATGGGCACTGGTGGAGGAATGGGTACTTGATCATTGTGTGACTGAAACATAAGCACGAAAGTGTTTCAGGCTGTGACTGTATCTCACCAGTGATTCATTAAAATTTTTTTTTAAATTTAAAAAAAAGAAAATGTTCTCCCTGATCTAGAAAATTGTCGTTGTTAAATGGTCATTTTGCCTGAAACAGTAGATAGATTCACTGCACTATCTATTTAAACATAGCAGTCTTTCAAGAAATGTAAAGAAAAATTTTTTTTTGATTTATTGGAAACCACTAAAACTCAAATAGCCAAAGAAATCCCAAGAGAAGACAACAAAATTGGGAGATATCGTGCTTCCTGGCTTCAAATTATACTACAAATCTAGAGGTCTTAAAGCAATATGGTATTGGAATAAAATATAAGATTAGTTACACAGATCAAGGGTAGATAGAGAATTAAGAGATCAGAAACAAAACTGCACATATGTGGACAACTAGTTTATGACATAAGTCAAATACAAGGACCAAGGAAAGTCTGGGGGAGGGGGGAAGTATATGAGTCAGTTTGAAGGTAAACATAGGGGCAAGGGTTAGGATTTTTATACACATCACTGGCAAGTGATTAGCATCAACATAACTATAATGTGTAAACTTAGGGGTGGAGGGAAGTTGGCAATAATGGTACGACTGGTATCTGAACATTATGAACAACTTTGATCACACCAGGTGCCTTAATTTTAAAAAATTAAAAATTGTCTTATTAAACTGTATGAATTATTTATAGACTTTGTTGAATATTAGCATTTTGTTACTTTATGAACTGCAGTTATTCTGTCCAAACCTTTTGGTGTATTTTATTATTTTGTTAATTTTTAGTCCCTACAATTGTACTTAGCACAGCGGGTAGGGCGTTCACCTTACAAGCGGCCAACATGGCCGACCCGAGTTCGATTCTTCCGCCCCTCCCGGAGAGCCCGGCAAGCTACCGAGAGTATTCGATATGCCAAACACAGTAACAACAAAGTTTCCAATGGAGATGTTACTGGGCCCGCTCGAGCAAATCGACGATCAACGGGAGGGCCTTTACCTTTACCTTACCTTACCTTTACAATTGATTATTATTATTGTTGTGCTACCAGGGATTACCCCCAGGTCCTCACATATGCAAGGCAAGTGTTCTACCACTGAGCTATATCCATGGTTAATATTCACTTGATCTCTTGACATCCCGTTATTCCTCGATTTGCTTGAGTGGGTGCCAGTAATGTTTCCATTGGTCCCTGTCACGTGCTAGTGTAGCCCAGTGGCATCCGCTTGTTCTAGGAACACGAAGAGCCTCAAACCCATCATTCAGGGTCTTGACAAAAAAGTCTGACCATCTCGTAGGTGGGCAGCCACGCGATCTTTTGACGTCCTGTGGAATCCAGCCAGTAACAGCTCTAGTCCAGCAGTCGTGTCCAAATCTCATTACATGTCCAGCCCATCTGACTTTCGACGCCTTGGCAAATGAGACAGGGTCCCTGATTCTTGATTGTTGACGGAGATCGGAACTCTGGATTCTTTCACTTGAGTGGAGCATGATACTCCAAGCATAGCTCTTTTGATTCCTCTTCGGGAGACCCAAATAGCATTCTCATCCTGTTTTCGTAGGGCCCAGGTCTCTGAGGCATATGTTAATGCAGGAAGAACAGGGAATCAAAGAGATGTGCCTGGAGCCGGAGGTTCTTTGTCCTCTTAGCTATTTCTTCGATGCTCTTGAAGGCGTTCCAAGCTGCTCTCTTCCTCCTGCGTAACTCAGGTGCAAGAATTACTCCTGGCAGTGCTCAGGGAACCATATGGGATGCTGGGAATTGAACCTAGGTCGGCTGCGTGCAAGGCAAACGCCCTACCCGCTGTGCTATTGCTCCAGCCCCTCATGTTGACTTTTCGACATAGGTACACATAACTGTTGCATTTGGAGTTGTTTGTTCCGTTGAGAGCGAATGGAGCATCAGGAACAAGACTGTTTCTCATAAACATTGTCTTCGTAAGATTCAGCTATAGACCGACCTTTCCACACTCACGGTCGAAGTCACCCAGCATTTGTGCCGCTTGGCTAATGTTTGGTGTTATTAGAACGATGCCATCAGCGAAGTGGAGGGGGTGTAGTTGCCCACCGTCTATCTTCACTCCCATTCCTTCCCATTCCAGTTGTCACATGATGTTCTCGAGGGTGGCACTGAAGAGTTTCAGTGAAATGGTATCATTTTGCCGAACCACTGTCTTGACATGGATGATCACTACCTTGTAGAATGGTGAGATCCTGGTGGTGAATCTGTAATACAGTTCACAGAAGATCCTGATGTATTGAGTTTGAATGCCCTGTTTGGCTAGGGCTTCGATGACCGCTTCAGTCTCAACAGACTCAAACGCCTTCTTTAAATCAATGACAGAGCGGCATCTTGAACTCCCGAGAAACCTCAATGAGCCTGGTTATCGTGTGGATATGGTCAGTTATGCTGAGTCCTTTTTGGAACCTGGTTAATTAACCGGGTTAATTAACTTTTTTAAATTAATTAACTCTGAAAACATTTTTTAAACTGTAATATTAATCTTATTAATATTACAGTTTAAAAAATGTTTTTGAGATCATTTCTTAGGAAAAGTTGCAGATAAGATGAGGAATTTGCCAAAATCATGCTATTGGTATACACAATTTATTTTGAGTCTCTCTTTTTTTTAATAATGTTAGTGATTTATTGTGAACCATTCTTTTTTCCATTTATACTTAAAAGCAAGACCATAATTTATAAGAAATAACTTACCCATTTAAACCTCCTTAGAATTAGTCTGTTTTTTTTTTTCAAGTTTGAGCTCTTAATTTTATTTCTTGTAAGAAAACTTAGAAACATGTATAACTTTTAAAACATTACCACTTTTTGTTGTGGAATTCCTTTCAATTATATTTATTTCCCGTGGCAGACTATAGAAAATCCAGTTATATACATTAATTCCCTAAGATGGGAATTAATGTATTTATCCTGATTGATGGCTGTAACTTTGCTTCTAAACATATGTCTCTCTCTGTGAATCTGTTTGTTTGGTGGGGGCTCACACCCTCACACCTGGCTCTGCATTCAGTGGCCTCATGTGATGCTGAGGACGGAGTCTGGGTCAGCTGCATGCATGTGCCTTACCTGCTGTACTCTCTTGGCCCTTGTGAATCTATTCTATTCAGCATTTCTCTTCCCTTGATTTTGAATTTTTTGGGGGGAGTGGGGTTCTTTTTCTTTATAAATTTCAAAATGGACAAGTGAGCTAAATAATTTCAACTGAAAGAAATGTTAAAGGTCTATGTAGGCTCAGACATCTCTCCCCCCACCCCCAGCATCCAATGGGACACAAAATTTTACCAATGATGTAGCATTCCCTGTGGTAAAAGAGGCGAAGTGGAATGTAGCTGTATGTAGATTTTCCAACTTGTCATTTAATATCTACTAACTAGAGCTCATAACAGAAAGAATTTTAGTCAACTAGTTTATGTCAAAGAATTATCTTTCAGTACCTGTATTGCCAACCATAGTGTCTGAAAGGAGAGAAGAAGAGGGGAAAGGAGTTAAAGAGAAGGGGGAGAAGGGGAGAGGCGAGGGGAGGGGAGGGGGGAAGTATCTACCATTAGAGGCAGACTGGTGCGGATGGGGGCAAACTGGGGAGTCTTCAGATGGGAAATGTACACTGGTGAAGAGACCAGTGTTGGGACATTGTATGACTGAAACCCAATTATCGAACAACTTTCTCTGGGTGATTAACGTAAAAAAAATTATCTGGGTAACTTGTTAAAAAAAAATTCAGATTTCTAGAGTCAGCCTCCAGACATTGGGTTTTATTTGGTCTGAAGTTAACATTTTAATGAGCACTTCTGATTTTCCTAATACTGATTTTCTTTGGATGGACCTTCCCAAAAACTGCCCTAGAGAAGTATTACAATGAAAAGTTAGGTACGATAAGTGAATTAATTTTGTTGAAAGATAAGAAGTTCTATGTTGGGTGTATTCCATACTAGAACTAGTTCATGTCACATCTTTTCTCAGGGGGATCTAGATTTCCCTTCAAATATTTAAGAATTCTTTTTTTTTTCCTTTTTGGGTTACACCCAGTGATGCTCAGGGGTTACTCCCAGCTCTGCACTCAGAAATTACTCCTGGCGGTGCTCGGGGGACCCTATGGGATGCAGGGAATCAAACCCAGGTCGGCCGCGTGCAAGGCAAACGCCCTACTCTCTGTGCTATCGCTCCAGCCCCTATTTAAGCATTCTCGATTTAAAGTTGTAACTGTTGAAAATTTTGAAATATAGTTTATGCTTCTTTTTGCCTCACATATTTTCTAGTACAGGGAATGAAAATATTGCATTTTGATCAGATATTATGAAATTTAGACTAATCAGTTGAAAAACATTGCATGTAATCTGTACTTCTAAACTCTTTGATACAAATATAAAATTCCAAGTTTTTAAAATTTAAATATTTAAACGATTGTTATATTTTATATTTGACAAGGTAGACTTGCAAAGAGAAAGATCATTCTCCAACTTCTGCTTCTAAGATTTATTTTAGTTTAAAAAAGGTGTTTATTACTGAATTCTTCATAGTATATAGGTACCAAAAACTGTTGATGAATAATTTTCCAGCTATATTACCAAACATGGCTTTACATGGTTTGTCTAAAGTTGTTCAGAGAATATTTTGGGGGGAATATATAAGACTTATCTTTCTTATCTTTCAGTACTGTTGTCCAGACATGATAAATAACTTTTTTGGACTGGATAAAACAGAATTTCCAAGTACAGCAGATAAAAATAAGACTCTTGATTCAGAGAAAGGAAAATTGATCATGTTAGTTAATGACTTTTATTATGGAAAACATGAAGGAGATGTGTTGGAGGAACAGAAAACTCATACAACCTTCAAATGCTTCAGTTGCTTGAAAATTCTTAAAAATAATATTAGGTATGTAAATACTTATTTTTACTTTGATTTGAAAATAAAAATGCTGCTACAGATGTAAATAATGCTGTATTTTTATCTTGCACATTTTTTATGCCATTCTGGATAAATGGGTTTTAAACTTTCTACTAAGATTAACAAAGGGAAGACACATTCTTGTTGAAAACTTTTGGTTTTTTTCTGTTAGACTCTTGAGTCCACTTATATTTCCCTCAGATAACTTAAGAAATGACAAATTTATTGAGATAAGGAAAATTGGCTTCCCAACTGAGCAGTACGGCAAATTTTATGAGATAATTTTTGTTGTTAAGCTGCTTTTGAATTTTATTATTCTTTAACCACCTGAAGAGCTACTTCTGTACGTTTTGTCCATTTTAACCTCTCCATGCTAGTCTGACTTAATGCTCTAATCTTTCTTAGCTTGGAGAAAAAGTTACCATTTTTAGAGATGTGCCAGCTCTTCTAAACATGTCTGTATTCATTTTAAATTTCAACACCTTTAAAAATTAGATTTACTTACAGTCAGATTTTATGATCCTAGATGCATATTCTTTAAATTTTTGTAATGTACTTTGTAATCATTACATAGTTGAGGTAGTAGCTGCCAACTAAATGAGTTAGTTATAAGAAGAAAGTAACAATATTTTGGTTACTGTTTTCCATTGATTCTACAGCTTGATCTATATTAGGGTTTTTCCCCTGATTTGTTATAGTTTTAAATAGCATTTTTTCCCCTGGGCTTTGGGCCATACCCAGCAATGCTCAGGGGTTACTTCTGGTTCTGTGCTCAGGAATTACTCCAGGCAGTGCTTGAGGGATAATATGGAGTGCTGGGGACCAAACCTGGGTCACCTGCATGCAGAGTAAATACCCTACCTGCTGTATCAGGGCTCATTCCCCAATATTGAAAATATTTACAGTAGATACCTAAATACTGTTTGCAGAGCTGGTGTTAATACTAGAAGAATAGAGTTGTTTCAAGATGTGCCATAATCAGCTTTTAAAGGAAATAATGTAGAGATATGAGAAAGATAAATGTTACCATTTTATTCCAAATTGATGATATTATAACTTAGTTTCAAGATGATTTCTTTCAGGAACTTAGTATGGATAATTATTCATAGTTAACCTAGTTGAAAGATGGCTACTTTGAGTAACTTTGCTCTTAATTGCAAGAAAAAGCTCCATGGAGCTCTTTTATGTAGGTATTACCATTTGTGTCTGACATTAGAAGTCATAGTTCCTTATAATAAGAAACCTTATAGCAAGCTGAAATAGCAGACTATAAAATTGAAAAATGGACATTGCCAAGAAAGGACACAATCTCCAAGTTAAAATGAACAGTCTGTTTTAACAATGAACCAGTATTAGTAAATAAAACAAAAGGTTCTTTTACGTGTAGACACTAAATTGCTTTATGGATATAGAAACTAGGATGCAAGTGAAAATACTAGCAATTTGTCTTTTTAGCAGCTGGATTATATTATATATCTCCACAGCTTTAAACAATTTTTCTCATGGTTTTGTAACTGCTTTCGTTAGTCAAGTTTCCTTCCTTTGAGATTTTTATTTTTAAATATGAAAGTATTTTATGTATGGGAAAGTAGCTGACTGTTTTATCTTTTTAAAAAATGTAAAAATCAGAAATGATTTAAGAGAGCAATTTAGTGACCATTTGAATAACATTCTTAAATTACTTTGTATCAAAGATAAAAAGATGTTTACTTAGTTGCTTTATAGTAAATACGGAAAGTGCTCTGGTTGCTATGTAGGATTTTAAATATTGAGGTTTTTAGTATAATATTTAGTTTCGTGGTTCAGATTCAGGTGCTTATTTGTGAGATTCAGTTTTTGAATTGTATGTCTGCACCTGTTGACAACCATTTCTAGATTTATGAACCACATGAAACACCATTTGGAGCTTGAGAAGCAGAGCAGTGAGAGCTGGGAGAACCACACCACCTGCCAGCACTGCTACCGGCAGTTCCCCACGCCCTTCCAGCTGCAGTGCCACATCGAGAGCACGCACACGCCCCACGACTTCTCCAGTAAGCTACTTCCTTCCTGCTCTACTCAGGCATCGCATGCGGCTGCTTTTCATAATGCAAGCTCTGAGGAAGCCTTTAGAAGTCTCAGAGGCTGAGAATTGAAGGGCATAATTGCAGAAGTTTGAATTTATATAATAAACTGCTAAGAGAAATTATTTACACAAATTAAAGTTCCTCTTATAGAGAACTCATTAAGGTAAATATGTAGAGTATTTATTTATGTGGGAGTCTAAATGAGATGCCCCAGATAATAGTTTTCATGATAGAAGCAGTGCCCTTCATTTAAACTTTATGAGGATTACAGGTAGTTGAAAATCTCTTATCTTGGAATGAGGTGACCAAGGCTTACATCCCATCTCTGTCTCCTAAGCTGTATTGTAGCAGCTATTTTATCAAGTAAGCTAAGTTACTTACTGCTAAAAAAAGGAACGATGTTAGAAAATAGAAATACTTGCTTATATCATTAAAAGAATGGGGGTAATACCTAAGTATAAAATACTTAAAATGCATAATTAACTGAAAAGTTATTCTGCACCAGAATTACTGATATAGTACTATTGATACATATATAGATATGCAAAATGAATATGTATATATAGTATATGGTATAATGACTTTCCTCCCACTCCTCTTTTAGCCATTTGCAAAATCTGTGAATTATCATTTGAAACAGAACATATTCTTTTGCAACATATGAAGGACAATCATAAACCCGGTGAAATGCCATATGTTTGCCAGGTATACCTATATTTTATTATGTACTTTGTGTTTATTGTTTTGGTTGTTGGATTTAAAGGTAAAAGGTAAAGGCCCTCCCGTTGTTCATCGATTTGCTCGAGCGGGCCCAGTAACGTCTCCATTGGGGACTTTGTTGTTACTGTGTTTGGCATATCGAATACAGCACGGGGAGCTTGCCAGGCTCTGCCTTGCGAGCTAGATACCCTCGGTAGCTTGCCGGGCTCTCCGAGAGGGGCGGAGGAATCGAACTTGGGTCGACCATGTTGGCTGCGTGCAAGGCAAACGCCCTACCGCTGTGCTATCGCTCCAGCCCTAAAAGATGACGTAGTCGGCAGGGATTGGCAAGATGTGTTTTATTTGTTTTCTGTAAAGGACCAGGTAGTATATAAATTCAAGCTTTTAGGGTATTAAGTTCTCTTGCAACTAATTGAAACTGCCCAGTATAGCACAAAGGTAGCCATAGACAATAAGCAAAAAAAGAACTACTTAGTCTTATGCTGAGTTCTTCCCAATATGGGAAGTTCCTTTCTCTTGTACTTTCCAGTAAACTTTTCTAGTTTAAAAAAAAAAAGTAAAAGTGTGAATATGTGGGTATGTGATAGTATTTCAGTAAAGCTTTATGGGCCCTGAAGTTTGAGTTTTATATACTTTTCTGGTATTATAATATTAAAGTCCCTCTATAAATCACTTATTAGTAAACTGCCCTTTGGGATAACTCCTTCATTATTTTGGGGCCAGCCCAGCTTGGAATTGACCCTTAGGTTATTGTTTGCCTACTCTCCTTTGTTCAAAGAAAAGCACTGTGGGTGGAATGTTATGCATACTGACTGATTTGACAATCTAGTGAAGAGTGTAGGCATACAAGGAAGTACAAATTGCTTTTAGTTACAGAATATCCTACCAAATACTTTTGAACAGGTACTTCTCCAGAATTTGAAGAAATAGGAAAGCAAGATAAAAAATTACATAGGTTCAGAGAGATAATACTGGGGTTAAGGCTCTTGCCTTGCATTTACTTTGGCCCACATCAGCTTGAATCTTCAACTCCACATATGGTCCTCAGAAATCTTAGGAGTGATCCCTGAGCACAGAACCAGTAGTAAGCCCTGAGCACTGCTGGATGTGGTTGCCCAACCTCTCTGCCCCCACAATCAATTAATTGCCATTGCCATAGCCTGGTATCTAAACCCATTTATAATATAAAGAAGGGTGCTGTTTTGTTTGTTGGTTTTGGTTTGGTGGCAATGCCCAGCAGTATTCAGGGTTTACTCCTGACCCTGTGCACAAGGATCATTTCTGAAGATGCTTGGGCGACCATATGTGGTGTCAGTTACTGAACCAGGATTGGCTTGTCTTCTCTGGCCCTAGAAGAATGTTGTTTTATATAGCAGGGGACAAATAAAAACTATAGATCTGGAGGTATTAAAATTAGAAAATTCGGTCAAGGTAGGGGATTGAATGAAATAATTATCTGACAGAATTAGAGAAATCCATATAGATTTAAAGAAGTGTGTCTAAAATATTCAGAGAACTTTTTGTCTGTGGTTCTTGAATAATGGGATTGTATAATGGATTTTATAGGCCTCTGAGCTAAATTTATAGAACATAATTTTCCATACAAATGATCCATTATTGTTTTTTTATTAATTTTTAAGTAAACTAGACATTCTTTATATTTATAGGTTTGCAATTATAGATCATCATTATTTTCTGATGTGGAAATTCATTTCCGAACATCCCATGAAAACACTAAGAACCTGCTTTGCCCTTTTTGCCTGAAAGTTATTAAAATTGCAACACCTTATATGCATCATTACATGAAACATCAGGTGAGATTGAATAATTTGTATTTGTTCATTTGTTATTTTAATAAAAATATTATTACTCAGAACATGGTTAAGTTTTTCTTCAGAGTCTTGTTCCTTATATGATCAGTTTGCAGTTTAAGCTGAAATTACTCGTGAAACTTTTTCTTTACCTTTTTTTCTCATAACGTGGCATCACTGTATGCCATAACAGTGGTTATCCTGTTGTTCATCAGTTTCCTCGAGCAGGCACCAGTAACGTCTCCATTTGTCCTAGCCCTGAGATTTTAGCAAGTGCCACATTGGAGGCTCTTTCAGGGTAAGGGAAATGAGACCCATCATTGTTACTGGGTTTTGGCATATTAAATACACCACAGGAGCTTGCCAGATTCTGTCGTGCGGGCAGGATACTCTTGGTAGCCTGCCGGGTTCTCTAAAGAGTGAGAACTAGACAATTCGAGGTTGTGCAGCTGCAAATGCAGCCACGTGCTTCCAGGAGTTTGGTTTTGTAGTCTCTCGATCTTGGCCGTTGATGGGATTACATGGCGGTGGGGGCAGTTGGTGGAAGATGGGGAATCTGGGTGGAGGAGGCCCAGTCCCCATTCGAACAAATTTGGAGATCTCAGCCCCAGGTCCCACACACCTGGGTTCCTCTGGTGGTTCTTCATGCATTAGGCTCGTCTGAGCGTGTGGAGAGTGGTCTTAAGCATGGCTGTGGCTGGTTCCAGAGGTCTTCAGCTTCCGGGGCTCTGCTGGGGCAGGGAGGGAAACTCAACCCACCCACCTCCCAAGGAGCCCCACTGAGGACAGCCAGGCGTGGTGGGAGGAGACTCTGCACTCTGCATTGTTCTCTTCCTAGCTACTGGAAGATGGGGATCTGGGTGGAGGAGGCCCAGTCCCGATCTGAGCAGGCTTGAGATCTCAGCCCTGGGTCCTGCAAAACCTGGGTTGCTCTGCCGGTTCATTCATGTGTGAGGCTCGTCTGAGTGTGTGGAGAGTAGTCTTATAAATGAATATCCTGAATGAATATCCTGATAGATTAAAATAGGGATCTAGGGATCTGATGTAAGATACTTACCCTGGTTCAAATCCCAGTACTGGTTCAAATCCCAGTACTGGTTCAAATCCCAGCACCATGTATGATCCCCTGAACTGTGCCAGGAGTCACCCTTGAGCTCTACTGGGTGAGATCCCCAAACCAAAACCAAACAAAAAAATAAAATAGGAAACTTGTAGTAAAAGAAAAATGGAAAGATGCCTGGAGTATCTAAAACATTGACCATTCCAGAGTGATGAGATGGGCCTTACAAGCGGCCAACATGGCCGACCCGAGTTCGATTCCTCCGCCCCTCTCGGAGGGCCCGGCAAGCTACCAAGAGTATTCGATATGCCAGACACAGTAACAACAAAGTCTCCAATGGAGACGTTACTGGGCCCGCTCGAGCAAATCGACGATCAACGGGAGGGCCTTTACCTTTACCTTACCTTTGTTCTTTATTGAGAAACTTAAGTCTTGGTTACATCAAATAAAACCAATTTCTTAAGGGAGAAATCAAAACACAAAATAGAAAAGAAGAAAGTTAACACTATGGGTCAGAGCAGAACCCAGAAATTCTTTCAATTGAAAAATTCTAGATGTTTCATATTTGACCTATTGATACAGAATGGCCTATTAAATTTATGATTGTGGTTCTTAGTGTTGTGGTAGGAGAACTAGGAAGTCTTCAAACCTTAAGCTGAATTCTGTGATGAGTTATTTCAGTTTTGAATTAGTGTGTCCTGGTCTGGGAAATAATATGAAGGGATTATTTATCCAAAGAAGGTAAGTCGATTTAGAACTGAGAACATAAAGATTGAGGACTTACGATCTTGTTTTTCTCTTACGTTTTGAACTTTATTTCCACTTTTAGGTGCCCTAATGGAAAAATACGTTTCTTGTTAATCAGGAGTGACCTTTTGTAGCTGCCAATGACAAAAGGAAGTAGTGATACATGAGACACCATGTATAAACTCTGACAAAGAACTATATTTAGATACTCACTTGTTTTGTGGATGATCTCTGCCAGATCCATAGTTCAGTTTTGGGGACCCAGAATTATTGCTTATTACTTTCCTTAAATACTGATTCTATATTGCTGGTTATTTTCCTAAAGCAGTTAAATCATTATTTGTTTGGGTTGAAAAATATTTTGCCTAGGGTATGGTGCCACCAGCAGGTCAATCTGTACCTATGTGGCGAGTGCATCAGCAATCTGATGGTGCCTTCAGATTTCTAGATACCCCAAAATTGCTGCTGTGCTTTTGGCCAGACCCCAACCAATTGGGGCCAAGTTTACCAAGAAAGTAAACGGCCAAAAGTTAGGTATGTGAGAGACACACCCACAAACCACCTCTGGCTCAGCTATGTAATTGGAGGCAAGGCCTCTCTGGTTCCTGATTCAACTGTTTAATGGCCATGATCCCAGAGACTAAGAAACAAATCTCGGAACCCAGCGGCTTTTGGCAGAAATGCGTCCGGTCCCTGCAGTAGGTTACTGATGCCGGACCACCGCAGGGGGTAAAGGGTGCTGTCCCTCGACCCGCTCCCCTGTGGAGGCTTGGTGGCTGCCATCCACCAGTGGCCATTGGACAGTCAGGTTTGGGCCTGCAGTGATGAGACATGCAGGGACTTACGGGATGGGGGTGGAGCTGGCCCTCTCCTCCCCGCTCCAAGGAGACCCTAAGTCACCGCCCATGAATGATCTCTCTGGCTCCTGATCAAGCTGCTTAATGGCTATGATGCAAGAGACTCAGAATCAAATCTCAGAACCCAGTAGCTTTTGGCAGAAATGCATCTGGTCCCTGCAGTAGGTTACTGGCGCTGGGCCACCCCCAGTGGGAATAGGTTTCGTGCCTTGGCCTGTTCCCCTTGGCGGCTCTGTGGCCGCTATCCCCAAGAGGCCATTAGGCAGTCAGGTTTGGGCCCGCAGTGATAAGACATGTGGGGCCTCACAGGATGGGGGTGGAGCCGGCCCTTTCCTCCCCGCCCCAATGAGATCTCGAGTTGCTGCCCACGAATGGCCTCTCTGGCTCCTGATCAAGCTGCTTAATGACCATGATCCCAGAGACTCAGGAACCGATCTCAGAACCCAGCAGGTTTTGGCAGAAATCCCTCCAGATTTGATTGTTAAAATTTTGGAATTCCAAAATCGCGCAGCCACTACTGCAGCCACGCGACATCATATGCTATTCATAACCAGCAATAGAAAACAAATTTTCTACAGTTGCCTTTTCAGCAGGTCTGAGTGTTGGGGTAAAGGTAAAAAGGTAAAGACCCTCCCGTTGATCGTCGATTTGCTCGAGCGGGCCCAGTAACGTCTCCATTGGAGACTTTGTTGTTACTGTGTCTGGCATATCGAATACTCTCGGTAACTTGCCGGGCTCTCCGAGAGGGGCAGAGGAATCGAACTCGGGTCGGCCATGTTGGCTGCTTGTAAGGCGAATGCCCTACCCGCTGTGCTATCGCTCCAGCCCAGTGTTGGGGTAAAGTCCCAAATAATGGTGGGTCTGGTGTCAAAATATTGAATGTTACCACAGTAGAGAGAGAGTAATATGGAAGTCATCTGCCCCACAGGTAGGGGGAAGGTGTGGAATGGGGTGTATACTGGGGTTTTTGGTGGTGGAAAATGGGCACTGGCGAAGGGACAGGTGTTTCATCGCTGTATGACCGAGACTTAAACCTGAAAACTTTGTGACTGCTCTCATGGTGATTCAATAAATAAATTTATAAAAAGGGGGAAAAAAAGTAATGACCAATTAATCAGCCTTAATCAATGGCTGAATAAATAGCAGTACTCCTTCATTAAAATTAAAATATATATAAATAAATGTAAAAAAAAATTTTTTTTACAATACTAATGCTGTTTAAGAGTAGTAGTGCCTTTGCCAAAATCACATGTCAGTGTATTTACTGACATTATCTGATAATGAAATCAAGATTTGCCATCCTACTAATATGAATCATTTTATAGTCTTTCTGGTTAAATTGGCATGCCAGTTTATGTAAGAACTGAGGTAATATTGTTTTATGTTACTCTGTAAGTTTTAAGGGTAGGATTTCATTCCTCTTTAAAATACCAGAGCCACCAACCAGCAAAACAAATATTTCTCCAGCATAAACTATTCACCTCCTTTCCCACTTTGACCTTTTTTTTTTTTTCCCCTTTACCTCTCTGGTAACCTCACTTCTGTGATCTGACTCCAAGGTTTGTTTGCTTTTATATTTCCCCCTTGTTTTTCCTCTATGTATCCCACATATGAGTGATCACTAGGTATATTTTCCTCCTTCAGACTTATTTTCATTCCGGTTTCAATGTTGATGTACAAGTTAGATTTCTTTTTTTTTTTAATGACTGAGTTGTATTCTGTGGTTAAGTATATCACATTTTCTCTCTTGCATATTTGTAGCTGGACAACCCGAGTTCGATTCCTCCGCCCCTCTCGGAGAGCCCGGCAAGCTACCGAGAGTATTCGATATGCCAGACACAGTAACAACAAAGTCTCCAATGGAGACGTTACTGGGCCCGCTCGAGCAAATCGACGATCAACGGGAGGGCCTTTACCTTATATTTGTTGCTGGACAGTGGGTAGTTTTCATGTCTTGACTGTTACAAATGTTGCTTCAGTGAACATAGCTATTTAAATAACATGTCTTAGACAATTGAAACTTGTTTTATGACTTATTTTTTTGAGGTTGCAAGTACTCTAATCATACTCATGACTATCGGCTTTTGGTGCCGAAGTTTTACTTATACAATATAAGGTAAAAAAGGTAAAGGCCCTCCCGTTGATCGTCGATTTGCTCGAGCGGGCCCAGTAACATCTCCATTGGAGACTTTGTTGTTACTGTGTCTAGCATATCAAATACTCTCGGTAGCTTGCCGGGCTCTCCGAGAGGGGCGGAGGAATCGAACTCGGGTCGGCCATGTTGGCCGCTTGTAAGGCGAACGCCCTACCTGCTGTGCTATCGCTCCAGCCCTATTCTAGATTAATGAATCTTAATTCTCATCTCCTCTTTTTTCCATTCTGGTTAATTTGGAAGTAATGCAATGTAGAAATTATTTTTGCTGCTAGCAGATACTTGCAATCACTCCGAGTCATTTTAGTGTGTGTCTTTAGGTTCCTCAGGAGGGATAGGATTCCCTCCTGGTGATTGGTAGCCAGGATCTGGTGTTTCTAAGCGATGCAGTGTCGTGGATTCCCTCAGCCTCCCCAGTGGGGCTCCAGGCCTTCCAGGGATGCACATGGAGATGCTGGGCTCAGAGGGACCTTGTGGGCCAGGGATCACCCAAGCTTGTCTGCATGAAAAATGTGTCATTACCCCATGTTGTCTCTTTTGGAAGAGGCAAAAAAAATACCTTTTGAAAACAGGCACCACAGGTGACAGTGATACTATTAGTAATAGTTTTTGTGTACATTTTTCCCCCTTTTTCTTTTTCAAAAATTTGGCATTGTTTGGGGCCACGCCTACCATTGCTTGGACTCTGGTCTTGGCTCTCTGCTTTGGGGGCTGTGGTATGTGGATTAACCTTGGGTCTCCCACATGCCAAGCATGTGCTCAGCCCATTGAGCTAGCTCTCTGTCCCAAGACTTTTTTTTTCCTTAGGATGTACTGCACTGTCCTCCCATTGCTCATCGATTTGCTCGAGCGGGCACCAGTAACGTCTCCATCATGAAACTTGTTGTTACTGTGTTTGGCATATCGAATATGTCACGGGTAGCTTGCCAGGTGAGATACTCTCGGTAGCTTGCCGGGCTCTCTGAGGGGGCAGAGGAATTGAACTCTGGTCAGCCAGGCCAATCGCATGCAAGGCAAATGCCCTACCCCTGTGCTATGGCTCCAGCCCTCTCAGAGAGCCCGGCAAGCTACTGAGAGTATCTAACCCTCATGGCAAGGCCTGGCAAGCTCCCCGTGATGTATTCAATATGCCAAACACAGTAACAAGTTTCAAAATGGAGACATTACTGGGCCTGCTCAAGCAAAATCGATGAACAATGGGAGGATAGTGTTTTCTTAGGATAAGAAAGAAAGAAAAGAGAGAGAGAGAGAGAAAGAAAGAAAGAACAGTACTATACAGAGTCTTAGGGAAGAAATTAACCTCCAAACTGGGAAAATAACTTAGAAGGAACAGCAAAAAATAAATTTATTAGAGAACAGAACATTACTGTACCTTGAGGCAGGAAAAAAACTTGTTATCTCACCTGGAGTTGGAAGTCTTTGATATAAAGCATGTACAGAGTGAAAACAATTTTTTTAATTTAATATTTTTAGTTTGCTTTTTGCTGTCGCAGTGGGAACCACACCTGGTCGTTGTCAGGGACCCCAGGACATTCACCTGTGCTGGTGCTGGCAGTTGCTGAGCATCAATCACTTCCACTGCCTTGCAGCAGCTACGCATGTGCTCTGCCAATCAAGCAGCTTATTCATGCCCAGATTTTAATTTTTCTATAGACTGGATGCTGGGAGAGATTTTAAAAAGTTTAAGGGATTATTAATATTAGGACAAAATTTTCAGTCAAAAGATCCATACAGTACCTGAGAAGCTGACTTTAACAGTATTTCTTTCTACTTGTCAATGTTTGAGATTGGGGGAAATGTTTTACTACTTATCTTTTAATTAGATTTCTGCCAAGGGAGAAATCAAGACTTGATGTCATGAAACATCCTTCCTTTCTTTGTTGGCATTGTTAGTCTTTCATCTTGCCTTGTGCAGACTATTTGGGAAACAAGCAGTGACTCTCCTCCTAGTAGCTTTTTTGTCTGGCTTGTCCTGGTGTGCAGAGGACAGTTCCCCGCTCTGTATGGGTTCTGCTGAGAAAAGACCAAAGAACTGGGCAAAGGACAAGAACTTCTTTGTATGGCTTTATAGCCATAAAGACCTTTCTACTTTCAACTTAAAATAATCTGTAAATCTGTATTCCTAATTAATACTTTTTTCTCCCCAGGGTGTATTAGTAAATATTGAATTCAATAGTAGCAAGAACACTGCTCCAGCAGTTTTCTAGGGGGAGTGATTTAGATCTTCTCTGGCTTTGTTACTCATTCATAGAATAATAACAGGATTGGTTTTGAGGAGAAACTCAGCAAGTGGTGGCAACCAGTAAGTCGATTGTGATCAGCTGTTCAGATTTATGTGTCTATATCTGCACAATCCAGTATTGAAACCACTAACTGCCTGTGACTGTTTAAATTGAAGTTAATTGAAATTCACTTCCTCAATTGCACTTGATACATTTGAAACATTTCAGGGTTCAGCCCTTCCAATTGGCTAGTGGCTGCCACAGTAGAGAGTGCAGCTAGCAATAGCTACTTTCTTTGACATGTCTGGCATTTGCCTTGCCTGCATCTGGCCCTGCCAAGTCAGGTTTGATTCCTCCGCCCCTCTCGGAGAGCCTGGCAAGATACCAAGACTATCTCACCTGCATGGCAAAGCCTGGCAAGCTATCGGTGACGTATTTGAAATGCCAAACACAGTAACAATACTAACAAGTCTCACAATGGAGACGTTACTGGACCCACTTGAGCAACTCAATGAACAACGGGAGGACAGTGGACAGTCTGTTACAAACTGCATTTAAAGATTTTAATTTGAATTTATTTTACTAATTTGAAAACCAACTGAAACTAACAAAAATTAAAGATCGTTTCATTGTGTTTAAGTGCTTTACAATTAATTGAAAGAACTTTTACACCACAATTCAGAGACCTTTCATTGATGAATCTTCATATTTAAATGTCTACATAGAGACATATTTGAAACCCAAATACTTGCAGGGTACTTTAAAATAAAACAATACTTCTATGATGGGAAGTATAAAATTCTAGTTTTGAAATCATTATGTATCATAAAAATGAAGTTATAGTAGTTTCAGAACACAGAATCCGTGGTTGTGGAAATTATTTTTCTCTGTTTTCAACAGAAAAAAGGAGTACATCGTTGTACAAAATGTAGACTGCAGTTTTTGACATGCAAAGAAAAAATGGATCACAAGACCCAGCATCATCGAACATTTGTAAAACCTAAACAGCTGGAAGGATTACCTCCTGGAACAAAAGTGAGTTCAGATATGTTGTATTTAAAATGTTTATGAATTTAGAAAATTACTCCCTGATTGTATTTATTGAATATAATGCTTTAAAATGGATCTCTTAATTCTTATTGAGAGTTTAAATTTTAGGTCTAGCAGTATTCTAAAAACTTTGTTTTTCTTTTTATTTTGTTTTTGTTTTTGTTCAGTGGTTTGTGATGTGGTAAAGTAATATTCCTTTAAAAGTGCAACCAGATTAACTAACTCTTTTCCTGTGTTGTAACTATATCATCTGGGCTAGTTTTGAACTATTCTATTTTGCCATGATTATGTTGGCCTTATTTCCTAAACTAAATAAGATACTTGAGATGGTAATCATGTTTTATTATTAGTGCATTCTCAGAACCTGGCAGAGTCCCTTGAATGTTGTAGGTTCTCCTAAGTTGTTGTTACTAATTGCATCCAGAGAGACGATGATTTATGCTGCGGATAGCATTGTGTTTTTAGTGAGCAAATGCATGTCTGACTGCATACTGATGATTGTAATTTACTTTCCCTTTTTGCCTTATATACATCTGTTTTCTCTGACTTCTTTACATACAGTCAGCTCTTGAATATTTGCTCCAGTGGAGGGAAACAGAGGCATGGATAATCCAAAGTGAAATTATCCCCAAAACCAAAATATTTGGCTTTGGGTACTTACCTTTGAATGTGGGTATGTCTGTTATTTGAATTAACTAAAACAATATAATACTATGCTCTGAAGACCTAGAGCAAGAGAAGCTATCCTTCCCTGCAATCCATTCATTCCATGCTGGAACTAGACTTGCAGAGCATTAATGTAAGAAGTGCAGTCCTCTCTCATATTTTTCAATATTAATAATAATAGTAATATAGTGATGATACTAAATGATATTTTTATAGACCTAAATGTTAGGCATTTGGTATTTTTTTCTTCGTATATTTTGTTACTTAATCCATATGGCAGTCTAGTGAGATAGACAATAGAGGTAATACCCCCTTATTACTGATTAAAAAAAGTCTTAGGGAGATTATTCAAGTTCACATATTGTAAAGGAATAGTACATATTCTGAGGTCCTTTGATTCCAAGTCCAGTGCTTCTGTGGGATACCAAAGCACATATATTTCACAGGACATCCTCATCCTTCAATACATGGGGATTGAGTGTAGTTAATTAACAAGAATTTTGATGGGTAATTGTGGTTTTTTTGTTGTTATCCAACCAGTATAATTTCCAAATATTAAATACTAGTACTCTTTGAAAAAATTCCAGATACTATTAAATTCTCCATGCAGTAAAATGAATTGATGTAACTCTTCCCCAAATTTTTCTAAATATGAATTCTGCCCAGGAACCCTTGGGAAGCGGTAATACAGTCCATTCTAGAGTTATTTTTAAGACTTTAAAATTTAAATTTGATCTGCGAATTCTTTTAGTTATTTGGGGCATTGAAAAAGATATGGGTTGTCGAGTGCCCAGAACAGATGACTGGTTAAAGAAACTCTGGTACATCTACACAATGAAATACTATGCAGCTGTTAGAAAAGATGAAGTCATGAAATCTGCATATAAGTGGATCAATATGGAAGGTATCATGTTAAGTGAAATGAATCAGAGAGACAGACACAGAAAGATTGCATTCATCTGTGGAATATAAAGTAACAGAACGGGAGACTAACACCCAAGAATAGTAGAGATAACTACCAGGAGATTTGCTCCACGGCTTGAAAGCCGGCCGCAAATGCTGGGGGGAAAGGCAGCTCAGATAGAGGAAAAGGGTGCTTGGAGACCTGCTCGGGATGGGAGATGCGTGCCGAAAGTAGACTATAGACCAAACATGATGGCATGGCCACTCAGTACATCTATTGCAAACCACAACACCCAAAAGGAGAGAACAAAAGGGGATGAGTGCCCTGCCACAGAGGCGGGGAGGAGGGGGATACTGGGACCATTGGTGGTGGGAAATGGGTACTGGTGGAGGGATGGGTACTCCATCATTATATAACTGAAACACAAGCACGATAGTTTGTAAGTCCATAACTGTACCTCACAGTGATTCACTAATAATTTTTTTTTAAAGATTTGGGTTGTAATTTTAATACTTTATATAATTTTATTAACTCCTAATTATTAATAATACATAACTGATTTGAGTACAAAAATGCTATGTAAAAGTAAATGTCAAGTTTACTTTTCATTGGAATAAATATTTAAGTTACGTGGAAGAATTATACAAAACAGTTTGCTTTCTTTTTTAAAATTCTTGATACTTAGCTTTTTGTTATGCAGTGATAATTTTAGAATGATTTTCTAAAGAAAGTATTATCTTCATTGTAGGTTACTATTCGAGCTTCAGTTGGACCTGTTCAGTCAGGATCTTCAACTACACCTTCCATTAGTGCAAGCACTTCTACCCTTCAGCTCTCACCTCCAAGGACTAAAAATATAATTGCTAAAAATCCCGCAAAAAACAATACAAATAGACCTAATGCAGCTAAATCCAATGCAAGTAAACCCAATACAAGTAAGCCTAATGGAAGTAAATCTAAATGCAAATCAAAAATCTCTAATATGCAAAAGAAACAAAGCACATTGGCTGATAGCCATAACAAGAGTAAAGTCAATACATCATTGAGGAACTTAAGGTATTCTTTTACTCCTAATGTGTAATACTAGTTAAGTTTTATATACAATATTTAACATAAATTTACTATAAAATATTCTTCATTTCTATACTATCATTTATGGCATAAAAGTCAGGCAAATAATGGAAAGGTATTTTTTTAAAAAAACTTCTGGCACAATTCGTAAGTTACTGTTTTCCCTACAGTTTTATTATAGAGTATGTTTGAGCCGCATCTTATGATGTTTACCTTTTTTTACATCTAGTGATTTCTGAATTGATTAATTGAATCCCTTGTATTCAGTTCAGTGAGAACATTAACTGATAATAGATTGTTTAATTACCTCTAGCTGTTTCACAGCAGATTTTCAAACTTTGAAGTTTCTATTTAAAGGTGTTAACTTAAACAAATTGGCTTGTATTAACAGAACAATAGTAGTACTTATTATTTTTGTTGTGAAACATTATTATCATTTTCTTTATGTCTCCATAAGGTATCGTCCGGGAGTTCATAATTGCATTGAGTGTTGTTCGGAAGTAAAAGATTTTGCAAATCACTTTCCCACATATGTCCACTGTAGTTTTTGCAGATACAACACTAGCTGTAGTAAAGCCTATGTAAATCATATGATGAGGTAAGATGCGCTAGACTTTTATGATTATCAGTTAAAATTATAATCCCACAAGTATGTTTTCTGAAAATAGTTATCCTATTAGAATCCAGTTTTCTCTTTAAAATTGTCTAGCAATAGGGAATGTCTAGTATAATGTTTGGGGTACTGTTTCCCTGGATAGTAACTCATAGAATTGTTGAATCTAAATTGTTAAGAAGTTAGACTAACGTAATAAGACAGGTTTTATTGGAATCATTTTTCTATTGGAATCATTTCTCCTATAAACTTTCAAATACCTTTAAAAATAAAACCTTAAATGTTTTAAATATGTTTAATAAACTGGTATATACGATCTCATGAGTGTTAACCAACTCTTCCAAGCAGTTTGGGAAACAATTAGCAGTTTTGTTGGTTCTGTTTTATTGCTTCTCTCTTGCTTTCTCTTACACATTCTCTCTCTCTCTCTCTCTCTTGCTCTCTCCTCTCTTTCTCTCTCTCTCTCCCCTCAATTGTCCTTTCATCCATCAAACTATCTATCCTCTCATTCATTCAGTGAAATGAGAAACTATTTCAGTTATAGTGCCACTACTGAAATTTTTTCATTAATTCATGCAACTTAGATTATTTGTGTAGGAAAGCCTTGGTAGCCCATATTATTTGTATTTGTATACGATTAATAGGACTAATTTTGAAAAATAAAGAATATTGCATTATAAACCAGTTGTATAATATAAACCTCAAAGTGAGGTTTTTCCATTTTTTAAAACATTAGAATTAAAATGTAAGTAATAAAGGTGATTTTCTTTGTTTTGTTTTGCTTTTTGGTTTTTGGGCTACACTTGAATGTACTCAGGGTACTTCTGGCTCTGTGCTCAGGGATCACTCCTGGCACGCTTGGGGACCATATTGGGTGCCTGAAATTGAACCTAGGCTGGCTGTGTGTAAGGCAAGTGCCCTCCCTGCTATACTATCTCCTAGCCCAAGGTGATTTTCTTGTAGGTTGCAACATGACCTCTGTATTACTGTCAGCATTTCCATTTACTTTTTCGAGACTTCTGTCACCTTTCTTGATGACATTGACATTTCTCTCACAGTTCCACGTGCTTACTCTGCACTCACTTAATCAGCATTACCTCATGGTACCCTGACTGCCTTAAGGACAGCACTTAGAACAAACTCTGACTTATTCTGAGTACCGTTTTTATCCAGTCTTATTTTAATTTTATCATACACGCTGTTCATTTCTTTAGAGTTCCGTTTACCCTTGTTGTCGCAGATGGGACTCACTTTTCCAGTCCTTTGGCACAAGTCTAAATTAATAGTCAGCGTCACCCATTAGAGCTTCTCTTTTCTGGTGTAGCCTTGTTTTTATTCTAGAATCTTTTATAACTTTTGTCATCCTCACCTGGCATAAAGCACAAGATAACGACGAATGCAGACAACTTGACTTCATTAACTTCATCAACTTCATTCGTTAACTCTGATCACGTTCTATATTTTTAAATACCTAAAATGTCTATAAATGTTTTCAAGTATTTGAAAGTCTTAATTTTAGTCTCTTGCTAATCTGGCTGAAATTGGAGGTCCTCCTTCTAATCCATCTTTTTATTCTTAATATTTATTACTTTCATGTAGATATATTGACCTCAGAAAGACATATTCTACTCCTCAGAGTTAAGCCTGTCTCCTCTTCCCTTATCTCCTCCAGCACTTTCACAAGCCTATTTAAGTTTCGACTTCATCTTGTCTTTTAAAATAATTTTAAATTATTCCCCTCTTCTTTTCTCTTCATTGTTGTTGCAGCAAGCTGCTGCTTTCCTTGACAGCTGTCCACCTGTAGTTGTGGAACTTGCAGCAGCGTTTGCTGAGTGTCGCACTCTACAATTGTGTTCATTCACATTCCATTTTATGATCGTGGCTGTGTTGCTCACAGGTACAGTTGCGGTACTCACTGGGACTTCAGCCCTCACCCTTTGCTGTGGTGTTCCCAGATACCTGTCCTTGAAGGATCTGGGGCTCACAGGCAGCAGATCTCTCAGGCTCCTGCTTAGCACGCATGGCAATATTGGGAGTTGAACTCATGACTGGCCCCGTGAAACGCAGGCATTGGAGCCGCAGAGCCATTCAGCAAGTTTAGTGACATGTTACTCATCTAGGCCCTTCTCTTTTCTCTACCAGATTGTTTCTGTTCGCATTTTCAGGTTTTAAAAACATTCCTGTAAAAGCAGTTTTTTATACGATGTTATTAGCTTTTCAGTGATTTTTTAAAAAATTTTTTATAAATTTATTTATTGAATCACCGTGAGAGCTTTTGGGTTTAAGTCTCGATCATACAATGATGAAACACCCATTCCTTCACTAGTGCCCATTTTCCACCACCAAAAGCCCCAGTGTACCCCTCATCCCACCCTTTCCCCATACCTGTGTGGCAGATGATTTCCACATTACTCTCTCTCTACTTTGATTACATTCAGTCTTTCAACACCAGACCCACGATTATTATTTGGGATTTACCCCAACACTCAGATCTGCCGAAAACTCAACATTAGACAATTTGTTTTCTATTTATGGTTATGAATAGCATTTGATGTTTGAAATTCTGAAGTTTTCATAATTAAATTTGGAGGGATTTCTGCCAAAAGCTGCTGGGTTCCAAGATTTGTTTCTGAATCTCAGGGATCATGGCTGTTAAGCAGCAGCTTGATCAGGAGCCAGAGAGGCTATTCGTGGGCGGTGACTCGGTCTCATTGGGGCAGGGAAGGAATTTAGTAATTCATTTTCTAACGCTTTTTAAGTTTTATCTCCAGCTATTGGTACTGAACTTTTTAAATAGTATATGATTTATTTTATCTGAAAAACAGTTAATCTGTGTTGATCAGTATCAGAAAAGTATTAATCTACTTGACCAGAGAGGACCATCGGGAACTGTTTGGAGATGATCACATTTTTAAAATCTTGGTTGTGATGGTACATATATAAGTGCACCAAATTATCAAAGTCATCAAACTAACCACTTAAAATCTGTTCTTTTTATTGTCTGAGATCTGAACCTCAGTGAAGACAAAAGATAAATTAGCAGCATGCATCTTTAGCAATATTCTTGAGTATAATGTAATTACATATTTGATTTAAAATGAGCAAATCAAATGGGTGCCAGAACAATAGTACTAGCCTAGCATGCAGCCAACCTGGGTTTGATTCTCTGGCATCCCATATGGACCCCCAAGCCCTGCCAGGTGTGATGATCCCTGAGTTTAGAGCCGTTCAAAGGAAGTCATGTTTTGGGCCTTACCTGGTGATGCTCAGGGCTTACTCCTGGCACTGGACTCAGGGATCACTTTTGGTGGGTTCAGGTAACCATCTGGGGTGCTGTGGGTTGAATTCAGGTCTGTCACAAGCAAGCCAAGCACCCTACCCACTGTACTCTCTAGCCCCTTGGAAAAATTCTTGGCTTTGTTTCGAGGCCATACCTGATGGTGCTCAGGGATTATTCCAATACTGCTCTTCAAAAGATTAGTATGTACTATCACCTTATTTAATCACTTTCTCATTCTTAATACCCCAGAATCTTAAAGAGTATTTGACGTTATCATTGCTCATTTTTAAATTTATTCTCAGCTTTTGTTTACCTTATCTGTCTTCTTCCTTTTAGACTGTTCTGCTTCATTGTATTCCCTTCCTTGAACTCCTCTTGTCTCTTTATAATTCCTTTCTTCACAGAATATCCATTCTCACTTTACCTTTCAACCCAAAATCTTTTCCATTTCAATCTGTCACTCCCTCCAAGTTCAATTCTAAATATCTTTTAGATTTTTTGGCTTGGATCGCTGGCATTTAAAAAGAACACGTGTAAACCAAATATTTACCACTCAGATACTAGATTTCAACATCCCATTTGTGTGAATGTGGAACACTAGAAACAACTCTCTATTTCTCAAATCTTAAGCTCACAAAGTTACCTGCCATAGTCATGACTTTCTGAGACCCTTGGTTTTTCTTCCTCTTGCCCAACTTCAGTGGTGGTTTATACCTGCATTCTATTTCTTTAAACCAAGTGCCAGGCATTTTTTCCTCCAGGATATAGATGGATGCAGTGTCCTTTTATTTTGTGATGGATACATGCCTGACCAAGTGAAGTTTTAATTCTGACCTTTATTCCATTTAGTCTTTAGTCTATTTATCATGACATCTAGCTATCCAATAGGACCTCCAGAACCATCCTCTTCCAAAACTTCCTTGATTGGATCAGTTTCCTTCATAACCTTTCCCCGAGTACTGTATTCCAGAATCTCAATCTCAAACTTGTTAGTCACTACACATTCTGAGTTGACTTATTAGCTTTAGGGAACTGGAAGCTTTCACTGTCACTCTTAGGGTTTGCTATATTCCTTTTATTTTTTTCCTTTTGCTGGTATACTTATTTCACTGACTGCCCTGGATATCACCCATTGAATGGTTCACTGTTACCTCTGTCCAATGTCTTATTCTTACAGACTTGAGTCCTGTATATGTACAGAAACTTCATTTCTGAGAAGATGGATTCCTTTCATTCCTGTCCTGTGCCCCCTATATACTCTCAAATGGTTTTTTTCCTCTCTCTACTATACTATTGGCCTCAGTCCTTTCTTAAAGAACCCTTTTCCTGTAAATTGCATCTTCCCCAGACTAAAGTTTTCCCATACTCATTTTTGTTGTTCTTCTTGTTACCAGGGCTTAGGGAGGAGAAGTGGTCGGGGTGTGTGTGTGTGTGTGTGTGTGTGTGTGTGTGTGTGTGTGTGTGTGTGGTTTGTTTTGTTGTTGGGCTTTTGTTTTATGGCACTAGTCATGTGCTCTGCCACTGAGCTTCATCCCTACTGCCATACTCATTTGCTGCAATGGCTTTTCTTTATTCTTTCGTAGTACCCGGAATAATCCTGTGCTTCCTTTCACTTTGCTGCCTTTTTCAGTGTCTGGTTACCGTTTTCTGTTCATAATGATAATTGCTTAGTTTGAGTTGTGCTCTGCCTTTTACTGTGTCTGTTTGTGTTATTGTTCTGAAGAGATTCTGTGTAGTCACAGTATCACCTAGCACATTATAAACAGTAGTTATTAGTTATTATTTATTGTAATTGTGAAAGGCTCTAAGTAAAATAAAATACATTGGAGTATTAATCTGAAAAGTCTTTAAAAATCTTAAGTCTTAATAATATTTAAAATTCTTGACACTATTTCACAACAGCATACTAGAATAAGATTGTGGAAGATTGTATAATTTTTACATGTAAAAATCAGATGTGTAATTTCTAAGTGACTTTCTGGAAGTAGCATATTTGGGCTTGGTTAAATTCCCACATCTTATTACATCTCGTAGTAGTAGAAGTAAGAGTCATTTAAAAAATGAAAACCGATTTCTGTATAATATTGATACTAATTCCTCCTCCTCTACAGGATCAATAAGAAGTCTTTTTCTCTCTCTATATATAATATACTTGTTAAAAGATACAGTATTGATATCTTTCTAGCCAAGTTTACTATTTTTTGAATATGACAGATTGGTGGTGAAATGAAATCTGTATTTGAATTCAAACTTCACCATTTAACTGTGTGACTTTGGGCAAGTTATATAACTTCATTCTGTTTCCTTTTATGCAAATAAAGTTATTATAATAAATAGAAAAATGTATCCACTGTGTTTGATAAAATTATTTGATCTTAAGTGATGAAATTCAAGTAATTAGTGCTTATTATTTTTAAGTTGTCATTATTAAGTATTGTGGATAAAGTCCATAAATCATTTTAATGATTTATCTGGAGACACATGTTTACTTAGCCATCTAATGTGATAAACAAGATGACTTTGAGAGCGCAGAGAAGGTAAGGATTCTTCTTTAAGCTAAAAAGAAAGATTTTCTATTAAATGCATTTCACTTATGCTTTGAATTGTGATATCAATTCTCTTTAGGGAAAAAAGAAAGGAACAAATTGCTATAGTAATTTATACAGTGAAAAAGACAAAGTTTTGGATTAATTTTGTTATTTTTTAGTTCATTGGATTTTATTATAGATTTACTGGCTCTAGTATTCGTTAGGGGCCGGAGCAATAGCATAGCGGGTAGGGCATTTGCCTTGCACGCAGCCTACCTGGATTCGATTCTTCTGCCCCTCTCGGAGAGCCCGGCAAGCTACCGAGAGTATCTCGCCCGCACGGCAAAGTCTGGCAAGCTACCCGTGACGTATTCAATGTGCCAAAAACAGTAACAACAAGTCTCACAGTGGAGATTTTACTGGTGCCCGCTCAAGAAAATCAATGAACAGTGGGAGGACAGTGCTACAGTGCTACTGTATTTATTAGACGAGCAGTTGGATTATTGTTACAGTGCCATAGTAACCCTCTCACACTCTGTATTCCAGTCCTTCCTTTCTTTTGTTGCTAGAACAGGAACATATAATCAGATTATTTTTTTGGCCTAACATCCCTTGCTTTCCTAATGTTAATATGATGAAGTTCATATCTTATTATCATTTTTCTGGAGAATATAAACCTTATTATATAATATAAACTTCTAGTACATAAAACTCTAAGTATTGTCCATCTTCTAAAACTCTTACCAGTTTGATGATTGCTCTGCATCTTGCTTCTTGCTTTAACTGGAGCCAAAAAGTAAGGACGTTCTTAAATGAAATGAACCCCCTTAGCCAACTTGTGTCTATCTACAAGCAACTCTCTGTCATGTGACCACACAACTTCATATGTGTCACCTCTTATGTTTAGCTCTAGTAATTATGAATATGAATTCACTTATTTCAAAAGTATTTTTTAAGCTGTGCAGGCTACTGTTCTTTCCTTCCCCATTCTCTTGCCACACTGAACTGGAGTGATGGTTTTCCTGCCTTTTTACTTGTGAACTGCATAACCACTTTTTTTCATTTTTGTCATCTGTAGAACTTTACATATGGAATTTGTTCCAAAATATATATAAAGAGGCAATATAAATCTTTTTGTTTTGATAGTGAACTCTAAAATTAAAACTGGATTCAGACAACTGAAATCTGAAAAGATAAATTATATAATAAGTGTTCATATTATTGACAAGTAGAATCCATCAAAAAAGACAAGTGAAAAACTGTAATATTTTCTTTTCTGTTTAAAATAAGCCAAGAAAAGTCTGAGGAAGAATATGTAGCTTTTAAATAATTAAAAAAATTTTAAAGTGTAATGTGGGTTATATTTCTTAGAAATCAGATAAAATTACAGACTTGATTGATTCTTTGACAAAATAGTTTGTGTACAGATTTTCATGGATGATTTCAGCATTACCCACTCTTCTGATGTTCTCTTCCAGAATATCCATTTCGTTATTTTTGTGGTATTGTCTTAAATTTGTACACTTTTAAATTGTAGTTATCCCCCAAACTGAAGAAGTAACTTTTAGAGATCTTCTGAGGATTATAACTAGTGAGTTACAATTACACACAGCAGATGGTTACCTTGTTTGTAATAGTGAGCATTCATCTGGTATATTGACTACTTTAGATATATTAGTACAAATTAGGAGTACCACATTTTAGTTAGTATGAGAATCCGTGAAAAAAACTTGGTTTCTGCTGACAGAAGAACCCATAGAGTTGCGGGGCAGAAGACAATATTTCTCAATAAATTCCCAAGTGATAACTAATGTAGTTGGTTTGTGACTCCACTTTTACTAATACTGTGCTAAACTTGTCCTGACTTTTTCATATTGTCTAGCTTTCCTTACCATAGTTAAAAGAATTTGTAAATTCTTTACTCATAACTGCAAAGAATGTACCAATGTTTGATTTAGACAGCAGTATTAAGCTCGAGTACAGACTTTCTCCACTACCAGTTCGATTCTACATGCATTCCTTCATAAGCATGATAAGACTAGAAAAGTGATTTTAAAACTTAGTTTTATTGATAATCATTCAAGTATAGGAAAACATTACAAAAAGTTTCATTGCTTTAATCTTTTTTTCCCTTCTTCCCCTTCCCTTCTCTTTCCCCTCCCACCTCCCCTCCCGACCTCACTTCCTCCCTTCCTCTCTGTCTCTCTCTTTGTGTCTCTCTCCCCCACGCCTTTTCTTCCTTCCCTTCCCTTTTCTGTTCCTTTTCCTCTTCCCTTTTTTTTTTTTGTTTTTGTTGTTGAGACAGGACCTCATACATGCAAGGCATGTACTATACCACTGAACCACATTCCCAGGACTTGTTTTTAACTCTTAACATATGAAAAAACTAGTTTGAGGTGCTTTATTTTTTTCAGACTCTTGAATGTTTCCTTTATTATGTGAGGTACTGACATAAATATTCCAAACAATACAGGTCACTAGAAAACAGGTAAAATGAGATGTAAAATAAATTGTTTAATGGGAATAATATATATATTGTGATGTTTTATTCAAAAAGAAACAACTATAGCTACAAATTAAGATCTTAGTATGTAATTAAATTAATAAAAAACACTTTTGTTTCCCTAGCTTTCATAGTAACCGTCCAAGTAAAAGGTTTTGTATTTTTAAGAAGCATTCAGAAGATCTCAGGTAACTAGTTAATCTTATAAATTCTTTCTATTGAAGAGTTTCATGAAATTGAGATATAGTTCATATACTATGATATTTCATTTAATTTGTACAGGTAATAGCTTTTTGTATATGCTGTTGTGCATCATCATCAGTTTTGTGTTGGTACACTTTCATAACTTCTGCACTCAGTATTAGTCATCTCCTGTCCATTCAGTATCCCCTACTATAGGCAGCCTCCAATAGGCTTTTGGCATAGATTTTCCTATTCTCAACATTTTACATTTATAATTGAAATGTACTGCATATTTTGGTTACTGGCTTGTTCCAGTTAGCATCATGTTTTCAACATTCATCTGTGGTCCCAGTAAATACCATTATTTCATTCTTAAATTGCTGAGTAATATTCTAATTCCAACAAAGTTATAAATGATAGAAAATATGTTTTGTCATGGTTTATTTACTGACTTAATATATTTTGTACATACATATCTTTTTCTCTGTACTAGAATGTTTTAGATTTCTTTTATTTTTCTTGCGGAATCAAGAATCTAACCCAGGGCCTCCCTCACACACGAAAGGCCAGTGCTCTACTGCTCTATTGCTGAGTTATATCCCTGCCACCTATTTTGTTTATGTTAGGCATTGATTAATGCTTAGTCTTTAGTAAATAGGCGCTTGGTAAACATACATTGAATCAATTAACAGAAAGCATTGAATGAATAAATTAAAATTTTAAATGACCTGTGGAAAATCAGTTCTGCCCATCATGTTAGACCTTTAGCTCAGAGAAGAAACAATTTTATGCCATTTAAAATATATATTAATTTTAAATATTTGTTAAAATTTGAAAACTTGCTGAATTTAAGAAAATATCAGTTAAGGTATATTAGAAGATATATATCTTTTCTGACAGTTATTTTTGTTTGGCTTTTAGGCCACAACCCAGCAGTGCTCCTTAATAGAGTTCAATAGTTTATTTTGTTTATGCTTTTGGTATAGTGTCAGCACACCATACCCATGACCAATATCCCATTAACACACATGTCCTTGTGTTCCTTCATGTAGACTCTTATTGTCTTGGTAACCTCAGTCTTTTTGTCCTACCTATGAGTGAAATCACCGAATTATCTTTTCTTTCTGACTTAATTTGTTTAATTAACTCCATCAATGTTGTAGTAAAATGTAAGATTTTGTCTTTTCTTACAGTTGGGTAGTGTTCCATTGTGTATATGTACCACAATTTCTTTATCCATTCATACATTGTTGAGCCCTTGGGTTGTTTCCAAATTTTGGCTACATTGAACATGGGCATGCATATAACCTTTTGAATTATGCGTATGTCTTTGTATTCTTCAGGAATAACATTTTTTGATTGTATGGAATGTTTTTATTTTGAGAAATCTCCATATTGTTCAGAAACTGAACCAGTTAAACCACTGATAGTGAAAGAAAATTTTTTACTAACCTCATTCCCACCAGTTCTGATTGTTTTCAGCAATTTTGATATAGGTCATTCTCACTGGTGTGAGGTAACATCTCTTTGTTTAAATTTCCATTTCCCTCATAGTCGTGATAAATACTTTTTTTAACTATCCCTATTGGTCATCTTTATGTCTTCTTTGAGGAGATGTCTGTGAACAGCTCTTGTATTTTTTTATGGGATACAACATGATCCTTCATGTACATAATAAATGAATCCAATACCCTTTTTAAAAAAATTAGTGTTGATTTGGCTCTGTCAAATCACTCCTTGGGATCACTCCTGGCAGGGGTAGGGGAACCACACTGGGGTACTTGGGATTAAGCCTGGATTCAACAAGTTAATAAGGCTTACTGCTATGTGTTCTCTCCAGCCCTCCACCCTTGCTTTCTAATAGTTATAGGCACATAACAAATTATGACTTGTTGAGATGACACAAGTGTAAGTGGAGCCACGACTAAGCACATGGTACCATAGATAAAAATTTATGAAGCAAAATTACTGTTCTACATGATAGCATTCTTTGCATATGACTATTTTGTCTAGAGAGTTATTTCAGTTATATTTATTTAATGAAAGTGACAGTTAAACACACAGAGAAAATTGCGGAGAAGCAATTGAATTTATGTATGAATTTTTATGATGATCAAAGTAGTTTTTGTTTGTTTGTAACAGGGGCATTACTGTAGTGTGCCTTAATTGTGATTTCCTATCTGATGGATCTGACTTAGATAACATGGCGACACACTTAAGTCAACATGAAACTCACACTTGCCAAGTTGTACTTGAGAAAGGTAGGTATATATCATTAATTGTGATGCTCTGACATTTAGATAGTTTAATCATTTTGGAAAACCTCAGTATAGGGCATTTATTTACTAAATCATTAGTCTCACTCATCATATTTCTCATGCTCTTTTAAATATAAAACTTTTTCTTCTAATTTCAGTTTCTGTTTGTCTTCTAACTTCTGAGCATCTTTCTGAGTAAGTTTGATTTTTATTCAGTGCATTTTACTTTGATGAATTTTAGCACTGTTACATTTTTAAATGTGTCATTAGTAGAAATATGGGATATTAAAGGTTTTTTTGTTTTGTTTTGTTTTTTTTTTTTAAAGCTGCTTGTTGAAATAGGTTCCTGCTCTTTGGAGCGCATGACCTGGTGCAAGACAAGTTGGAATTTCCTAAGTTCAAAGTTCTGAGTTATTTTCTTACACAAAGGCAGTTACACAGCCAAAACCATGACACTAGCTCTCATTTTTCAGCTTCAGATGGGACTAGATTCTTATTCCACCTTATCTTTGTGTCAGGTTAACATATCTTAACATACTTTTTTTTCTCCAGTTGGCTCTCTCCAAAAATAACTTTCATTGCTATGATTGTTTTATACTTTGCTTAAAAAGAATTTTGTCTTTTTCTCTGTTGTTTTTTCCCTTCAAGTAATAATATTCCGAGTGATGTGGCTGTTTGTCTTTTTGTCTGTTTTGTCTGCTTTCTTAATTTCTTTATAAGTCTTAAGGTTTTAGGCCAGATGCCTTGTCCTTTTCCTCATTCGTTGTCTGTCATTGTGCTATTTTTCTTATTTTTCAGATGCAGAAGCAGCACAGAGATTTCAAAAAATGTCCAGGGTACATCTGGACAGTGTCCCCCTTCGATGGACACAACTGATGCCTGTTCTCTATTTCCAAGGAATATGAATGATTTGACTGTGGGCCCTGCTCTAGGTTGTGGTCTCAAGAAATCAGATCTTGGGGAGACTCCCTTCCTTCATGGCTGGCCTCCCATAAGGCTCATGCTGATCTAGCCAGAGGCTTCCCAAGGCCCACCAAATTGAGCACATCTTCCCACTGGGGGTTTTGACTCTTGACCTTAAATTGGGTCACTTTTGACCAAGAAACCCCCATCAAATCAATGCTTCAACATCCATGTTGAAGTTTAGTTATTTTGACTACTGTCTTTTAATTTTCCTATAATATGAATGCAATTCAAGGAATACAAAAACTCTGGTTGCATGGAAACCCTGGTTACTTTCATGTCCTTGGAACAACAGGTCTCTTCAATTATGTTCCAAACAGCAGTTTTTCAATACTGTCATTTAAAAATATATTGTTCTGTATAAACTCTAGTTTTCTAACAATAACAGTTCTAGGAATTTTTTTAGTTTAAAACATTTAAAAATTTTTGATTTTAAAAATCTTTAAATCTTTAAAAACTTCAGTTCTAGTAGTTTGGTTCTATTCTTCAAATTTATTGGTGTTTATTTTATGATGTTCATTTTTTATATTCTCTTCTTTAGAATTGTTAGTGTTTGTTTTGTTAAGGTCTCTAAGAGTTTCCCTAGAATTTTCTTTAGATTCCTATAGCTCTGTATTCAGAACTTTTTAATTTGGCTGTTGTTCAGACTATTAGACATTATTATATACTTTGCCTTAATTACTTGTGGGTTATTATTAATATTATCTTAATTGTGAGCTCTGAGGTGTAAAAAATTGACAATACCTTCTTTGAGATATTAAAACAAATCCTAATACTGGATATTGTATGTATATTACATAAGATTTACCTAGCTAATTTAGTTCCTTGGATAAAGATAGCGTTAAAAAAATGGGGACCAGTAATGCACTTGTTTCTTCATATATATATTTATACATATATGTATATTTTTAAAATGTAATACTTGTTTAATTACATTGAATATAGAACTCAGATGCTATTTTCTTTTAATAAAATATTATATTGTTTAAATGCCTCAGGAATTATTTACTAATTCATATAAATTCTGTAGATTTTATCATATAATTAGGATCATTGCTTGGTTTTATAGGTGCATTATTTGGCCCACAGCATGAAAGCTTTATCATAATGTATATTGATTTTGCCTCTATTACATTTGAAGAGTCACTCTTTAGTCTATACCATTCCCTTGAATTTAAAGAGAAGAAAATTGCCTTTTTGATCTTATTTGCCATAAGTACAGGCTGATTCTGAAAGCATGACCTAATGATATTTTTTTTGCTCTTAAAATTAGAACTACAATTTTACATTGAAGTACTAATAACCCATTAGGAAATAGTTATTACATAATATGTTCCTTCTTAATAATCATGAAAGTTGAATTTACTATTCCTTAACTCATTTCTACTGTAAGTCTATGATTTTACACAAAATTCTCAGAGTGGTTTCTTTCTTACTTGATTTGGTCATATGTGAAAATTTGTATTTCCTTTCCCATTTTAGGAAATTTTGACTTTTATTTTCTTTCTGCCTGATTAAAGAATAAATCTTTTTATATTTTGCTCAGATAAAAAATGATTTCTTTACATTTTTAAAAGTGGGCTGGGGGCTGGAGCAATAGCACAGTGGGTAGGGCATTTGCCTTGCATGCAGCCAACATGGCCGACACAGGTTCGATTCCCAGCATCCCATATGGTCCCCCGAGCACCGCCAGGAGTGATTTCTGAGTGCATGAGCCAGGAGTAACCCCTGAGCATCGTCGGGTGTGACCCAAAAAACAAACAAAAAAAAAGTGGGCTGGAGTGATAGCACAGCGGGTAGGGCGTTTGCCTTGCAAGCGGCCAACGTGGCCCACCCGAGTTCAAGTCCTCCGCCCCTCTCGGAGAGCCTGGCAAGCTACCGAGAGTATCTTACCCGCACGGCAAAGCCTGGCAAGGTACCCGTGATGTATTCCATATGCCAAACATTATAACAATTGTCACAATGGAGATGTTACTGGGCCTGCTCGAGCAAATCGAACAGCGGGAGGACAGTGACAGTGACATTTTTAAGTAAGGTCCTTTTTATGTCTGATCTTTGCTCCACCTTGGTCATAGTTCAAAAAATGAGAAATTAACATTTGTAATATAACAGTGTAAGAGTACTGCTTTGTGTTTTTAAGACTAGTACTTTTGATCAAATTTTATTATATATTTAAATCCCTAAAGTTCTGCAACTTATAATTTCCTTTAAAAATTGTTTTATCAAAATACTTAAAACTGTTAGTATAAAACGATTCTTTTTGGCAGGTGGCTGAATTTTAATTTGGTGATAAAGAGTTTTTTAGCTTCACTCATACTGATAAACTTCTTACCATCAAGTTATTCAGAATTTATTCGCCTGATCAGAATTAGTTTTTCATGCTTGTGTGACTTTTGGTTGCTGCAAAGTAAAAAGTGAAATTGGTTCAATTTGAGATTGTCACCATTCTTAAATAGAGCCTATCTTGGATTCTTGGCCTATTCTGTCCATATTTTGGCAAAATGATATTCTTGCCTCTTTGTGCCTTGCTTATTCAGTTGGCTTTCTTTGGAGCATCTGCATTGTTCTTGGCATTGTTCTAAATCAAAGTTCTCCAAAGTGGGTGATTCACCCTAGACTCTGGAACAAACAGAGTTGTGACCTTAGTGCATTTAGTTGGGGGTGCTGGGCACTTTATCATTGTTTGCTTAAAGAAAGTAGATTTTCCAGAGGAGCACTAAGGAATTTTTTTCTGAAAAAGATGTGGTGAGTTCAAGTAAGTTTGACTACCTCTGTTCTAGATGCTGGAAAAGTAGCTGGAAATCTCTGCCCTTTTAGCGCTTATATTTTAGTGACAAAATTATATAGCATGTTAAATGATGGATAAAAATTAAGTAGGGAAGGGGATAAGAAATATGGATTGGTAATCAGGAAACTGCTGTTTGAGAAAATTATGTCAGGAAAAGACTCATTGAGAGATAGATGACATTTAAATGAAGACCCAAAGTAGGTCATCTATTAAAGATTGAAAACGCATCTCCTCACAGATGATCTCAAGTGATAAGGAGCAGCTAATGAGAAGGAACAGCTATTGATTTGAGATCATTTTTGATTTAAGGAACTATCAGGAAATTGGATGGCAGGAATGCAGGAGAGAGTGAGAATAAAGAACAGAAGACAGAACTTGAGAGATAACGTGGCTCATGTTTCATGTGACTGAAGAGACCATTGTAAAGAATTGGCTCTTAATCAGATAATAATGGTCACTAGAGGATTTTGAACAGTGAACTGTTAACATACTTCAGTGAAAGTAACAGTAAACAAAAACGCTGACCAGAGACAGCACAGCGGATAGGGTGCTTCTCTTGCGCTTGCCTGCAGGGGGGGTGGGGGAGGGGGAGAGAAGAGAAGGAGAGAGAAATACCCTTCCTTACATTCAGAAGTTTTGATTAAGAGACTCCTAGACATTTTGTTCATTAAACGGAATCATATATAAGGGGAAATTTATAACTTGATTCTAGCAGTATACATATTCATATTTTTGTAAAATACACCAAGAACAATTACTTTCTCATGTTTGTGAAGTTGAAGATCACAGTAACAGATTGGTTATTCCGTAGTCCATTTTATTTCTTTGTTTTGTATTTGGGACCACATCTGGCAGTGCTTGGTAGCACTCCTAGTGGTGCTCAAAGTGGTACTACAAATTCCCGTGACGTATTCGATATGCCAAACACAGTAACAACAAAATCTCCAATGGAGACGTTACTGGGCCCGCTCGAGCAAATCCATGATCAACGGGAGGGCCTTTACCTTTACCTTTTACTAGGGAATAAACTCAGACCTCCACGTGCAAAATGTGCTCTAGCCCTTTGAATTATCTTCCTGGCCCTTATTCTGTTTGTGAATATAGCAGCAAGGAATGTTTGTATGGTTACTTTACATGATTTCACACCAAGACTCAAAAGTTGTGACTCTTCTCATATCTAATTCTAGCTTCTCTTCATAAAATGTGTGAGCATATTGATTAACTCACATAACTGTTTTTCTTCAGACTGTTACTATAGTACTTAGAAAGTAGCATGTAGGAAGCACCATACCAATATGGCATGGTACCACTTTCATTACAGTATTTTGTTACAAATGAACTCTTGAGTTTATGTATGTCTCTTATTCAGATAGAATTAAGCTAATCTTCTGCCTAATTGTCACCTGACCTCCCCATGCCACTTTCACAGATTATTTTGTTAACT